TATCCTTATGTGCAAGGAACCAATCAGATGTAACTGCCAAAATATTCGATTTTAATATAGACAGATATATACTTATAATATCAAATACTCTTTCATTTCTTTTCTTCCACACATTCCAAAAAAAGCTAACCTAAATAAATCTCCAAATAATAGTTCTCATCTTTGAAATATCAAGTGTGATCTATTGGTCAAGAAAAGCTTTGACATTTAAGGACAAAGGTAATGATAGGTTGAGGCACTGTCGAGCCCAATCTCAAAAATATGTAACAAAATAGCATGAGAGGAAAAGATGTTGCGAAGTTTCATTATTGTCTTTGCATATGATACATACATTGGTAATAATGAACCACATCTTTCTCAAATTATCAATAGTTGCTAATTTATCTTGACACATGATCCATAAGAATAGTTGCACTTTAAGAGGCACATGCAATTTCTTAATCTTGAATAAACCAACATCGAACTCTCTCCAACGATCAGAAAATAATAGATTATAGGTTGACTTAACCAAAAAATCTCCCGAAGGGGTAAGATCCCAAATAAAGCTATCATCCATATTTGGAGTCAAATATGTGTCACTCAATAATTCTAACAATGTTTGATACTCCTATACCTGCAAGGAATTGACCGAATAATATTAGTATAAACAACCCCACTAGCCTCTTTGACAGATGCTAGCGGGTTTAAAGCTTTTGAGAAAACCTCAGGAAAAAGGTATCTCAACGGGTCGTTTGCAATCCATTTGTCAAACCAAAAGAGATTGGATTCTCTATTCCCTACTATTGTTCGGAATTGGCATAGATACACAGATCTCTCTTAGTCAATAACTCTCCAAATATAGGACAAACTTGTCTTATTTCTTGGATTTTTAATGTGACCAAAGTTCAAATCTATTCCATATTTATCTATCAGAACAAGCCCCCAGAAAGACTTAGGTTGCATATGGATCATCCACCACCATTTTACTAAAAGTGTCGAGTTCATATGTTTCAGTCTCCGAACACCCAATACCCCATACTTAATGGTCTACAAACTTTTTCCCAACTCACCAGATGAAATCAATTCCTTCTTATGTCAACTCCTCACAAGAAATTTCTTATATTTCTCTCTAGTTGTTTTTCAACTTCTTTTGACATCTTAAATAATGATATAAAATATATTGGGAGGTTTGACAAAATGGATTTAATGAACATATATTTTGCCCCCATAGAAAGAGTTTTGGCTTTCCAAAATCTCTCCACCACTGGATCCCAAATTGATCTTGGAGACCTCGAATCCACTACGGAAATTCCTAAATAAGTACAAGGTAAAGACTCAACACCACAATTTAATAAATATGCTATTCTTCATACTGCCATTTACAGACAGTCAATACTAATGAGCTTGGTTTTTTCTAAAATTAACTTTAAATCTAGTTGAGAGTTTCACACTTTTCAAGAAAACCCATAGGCAAGTGATTTCCTTAATCATGGGATCACAGAATATAACAGTATCATCAACATACTATAAATGTGATACTGTAAGACTATTATTACTAATATTAACACCGGATATGATCATTTGCATTGTCAAAGCTCTCAGGTACCAAAGTATGTAAAAATGGTGAAAGAGGATCCCCTTGTCTTAATCCTCTTGATCCTTTGAAAAAAGCGGTTGCTTTGCCATTAACAAGAACTGAACAAATGGGTAAAAGACAGGCAACCATCAATCCAATATCTCCACCTTGAACGAAAATCGATTTTAGCCATGATAATTTGTAGTACTCCCAAATCAACCTTATCATATGCCTTCTTAAAGTCTAGCTTACAAATAAGACCCAATTTGTCATCCTTGATTCTTGAGTGGATGCATTCTTGTACAACCAAAATAGTATCCATAATTTGTCTATTCTTCAATGTTGATTGTGGTCTTTTAATAACCATGTGAAGCACCTAGCATAGTCTATTGGCTAAAATTTTCGTTATGATTTTATAAAGACTACCAATAAGGCAAATAGGCCGAATATCTTTGATCTCTGCAATGACATTTTTCTTTGGAATTAAAGCAATAAAAGTAGAATTCTTGGCAATGTTAATTTTATCCTTCTAATAAAATTCTTCAAATAATTGTACAATATCATCTTTCAAAATATCCCAAAAGGATTGGAAAAACCTACATTGGGTATCTATCTGGGTCAAGAGTCTTATATCTGCCTAGGTCAAAAACTACATTTTTTATTTCTTACTCTTCAAATTTCTCTCCAACCACTGAGCTTGTTCTAACAGCAACCTAGTAAACTGTAGATCTTGAAAGGATAGTTGAATCTCACTATCGGCCTCATAAGACTTCTTGAAATGATCAGCTAGGACCCTTTCAACATCTGACATATTGTCACAGTCTATTTCTTCAATACAAAGGTTTTGAATTGAGTTACCCATTTTCCTTGAATTAGTAATAGCATAGAAGAAACTCATGTTTTATCGCCCTCCTTGAGCCATTTCACACGAGATCTTGATCTCCAATGAATTTCCTCCAAATTAAGCAATTCTTTATACATAGCCACCCATAAGTTTTTGTCTCTGAATTGATCATGTGATAGAGTATCTCCCATAAACTGAACATTATCTAACTCCTTTATATGAGACTTTGCAGCCCCGATTTAAGATTAAAAATCTCCCCAAACATTCATCCTCCATATAATAATATTTTGTTTCAATAGTTGGAGCTTCTTTGAAATTTGGAAACCTTTATAACCATCATTGGTAGTAGTTTTCCATAAATCTTCATTCAGGCTGAGTAAAGATCTCCTTGATAGCCATGTCAATTCAAATCTAAACGTGGATGGTCTAGACAAGAAACCCTCATAATTAAAGAGAAGATAGACATGGTCAGAAGAAATTTTTGGTAGGGCTTTCACAGAGAAATGAGTAACAAACTCAGAAGATACAAGACCCCTGTCTAACCTTGTCAAAATAGAATCTTGTAAATTATGATCGGACCAGGTATAGTTAGCCCCAGTGGAAGGAAGATCAATCAATTTATGATGCTGTATAAAACCTTCAAACATTCTCATACAATAAGGCATATAAGGAGAAGATGTAGATTCACTTGGCCATCTAATAATATTAAAGCCACCACAAACCAACCAATGGACATTCAAATTTAACTGAATATTTGCTAATTTTTCAAAAAATGCAGATATGTCAACAACATTGTTAGACCCACATACCACAGATAAACACCAAGAAAAATTATCTAAGTGCCCCTGGAAAACAATGGAAATGTGTCTAATTGAAAGAAAGTTTTGTGAAGTACTCAAAACTAAAAAGTTCCAACTTGCCCAAATACCACCAGAGGAACCAAAAGCATCTATTCCCAAAAATTCCAGGGAGTTTCCTAAAGCAATTTGGCAGTACGTAGAGTCGAGGCCTCCAATTTAGTTTCCTGAAGAATAAAAAGATCATGTCTTTCCTTTCTGCAAAAAGAAATAGCATATCTCTTGCATTGAACACTATTGAAACCCCTGACGTTCCAACATAACATTTTTATAAGGACTGGTAACCATCTCTATATTTGGCGACCCTTGAAGGACCAGCATACATAATCAGCAAAAGTTCAGAATGTGCGCGAGGACAAGCACTTACCTCACTATTATCATCGTTAATATAGCATACCAAATTGTCAAGTTCTCGTTGAAGCATTCTTTTTTTTCGGATTTTTTGGAGAAAGAATTAATTGGACACTAATACAAACTTAAAAAAAAAAAAAAAGTTAAAAATTCCAAACCGATTATGACATGAAATAATACTGTTTTCCAAACCAGATGAAGTTTCGGAGAAAAGTGGGTGGCATACATCTCCGTACCGTGACAAATTTGCACATCGCATTTATCAGGTTCGACCTAACAAGGTTCCACACCGCATTTATCACAGTCGATGTGAAGGTCCATGAGTCCACCACATAAGCATATGGTTTCCAACTTTCGCAAATTGGAAATTGATTTGTTTTGACACGATTCCAGACCCACTAGGGACGCACGTTTGCCACCTGGACCTAATTTGAAAAAGTAGTTGCTATTTTATTTTCCTTGAGGGAAACGGAACCTAATTTCAAGTCTAGAGGAGTTTCAGTCAAATTTAACTCGAAATTAATTGGATCTTGTTCACTTTTGGGGTTAGTAGTTATTTCAAGACGTTGATATTAAGCTGAAACATAACTGACCTGAAAAACTTTCAAAGTTAAAAAGAAATTTCGAACTTTCACACAAGTTTTGTATTAATTGAGGCACATTTTAGTCGAAATTTGCCATCATTAAAATGTTAACAAAGGGAGAATGGGGCTGGGGATGTGGTGGTATTGCTACCTAAACCCTAGCTAAAGATCATAATTTATATTCTCTATTCCCACTAATACTTTCAAAAAATTGACTCCTTCTAAAATGGCTTTTACCCAAAAACAGATGCTAATAAATGAGCATTATTACTCTATATCTCGTCTTCGATTCAAAATTTCGTTTCTTTTGGCAGTTCAATGGTAGGAAGAACTGCACTATGGCTAACATCAATGACCAACGACTCAATCCCAAACCTAATTCTAGAGAAAATGTTAACACTTTAAAAAAGTTTGGCGGGCAAGAAACTATGCAGTCATGTATTGTAAACATAAATTCTTTGCCTTTTACTTGGAAGAAATAAATAAGGTTGAAAAAAAGGGGCTAAAGTCTCCATACCTCAATTGCCATTCCAACTTCAAAAATCACTAACTAATTAGGAAAGGGGTAGGCTAGCTATCCCCACTAAATTACTAAAAAAACAAAAAACTGGTGCGGTTTGTATAAAGCCGAGGCTCTAAACAATCAAATTTGAGCCCACCTTCAAATAGTATCAAGAAATGTGGTTTCAATATTGAAAATCTTTGACTAACTTTAAAATATATTTTCATATTTAATTATAAAATTTAAAGTTTTAAAAATAGTGTAGATCAAGCGGATCTATAAAAACTTAAATAACTTAAAAATTGACGGTCCAAAAATAAGTTAGCAATCACGTTACAAGTATATTGACGAAATCTAGAAAAATAAAAAAAAAACAATGGATCATATTTCCTGTAAATGCACAAAGCTTTATAGGAATTTACTGAGCTAGGTCATGCAGAGAGCCCTTTCCCATCCAAAAGAGGGAGCGGTGAATGAACAGTATCGAATCCACCCTCCGGCCTCAATGAATCAGAGGAGCTCTCAAGAGGTGTTTGCATCAGAATGGAACTCGAATCAGTGCTCATGTTCTTGAATTCTAAGTCCTCACACATAAACCTTGGCTCCAGTGGTAACAGGGCATGACCTCCAAGAGCTTGCCACACATGCCTCATACTGGGCCTGGCCTGTGGCTGAGGGTGCGTGCACAACAGCCCTAACTTCAGCACCATCTCCATCTCTTCCTTCATATACCACCCATTGAGTCTTTGGTCCGAGGCGTCGGCTATTTTCCCTTCACTGTACAGCTCCTGCACCCACTCTACCAGTAGCATCTCTTCAACTGCAGCCTTAGGCTCGACGGGCCTGCGACCGCATGCCACCTCTAGCATCAATGCACCGTATGCATACACGTCGGCCTCGGTGGTTGCCTTGTAGGTGCGTGTGAGCTCTGGCGCCAAATACCCAAGTGTGCCCACTATATGAGTGGTTCGCGGGTTCGATCCGTGCTCGTATAGCCTCGACAGGCCGAAGTCCCCTAACCGGCCATTCATCTCAGAGTCGAGCAACACATTGCTGGCCTTCACATCTCTATGCACCACCACTTGCTCCCACTCCTCGTGGAGGTATAATAGGGCAGCCGCAATGTCCTGCAATATCCTGTACCTCTCTTTCCAGCCTAGAACAGTTCTCTGCTGCTGCATTTCATGCTCATCATCATCATCATCTTCATGAAATATCAATCGATCCAGGCTTCCATTGGGCATGTAATCATATACAAGCAGTAGGTCATCGTTGCGCTTGCACCATCCTTGGAGTTGGACCAGGTTCCGGTGGCGCAAGCGCCCAAGGCTTGCTACCTCTGCAATGAATTCTCGAACCCCTTGCTTGGAGCCATGAGATACTCGCTTCACTGCAACCTCGGCCCCTGATCCTGGAAGATTTCCTTTGTAAACCCTGCCGAAGCCCCCCGAACCAAGAACCTCACGGTCCTTGAAGCCTTTGGTGGCCAGGTATAGATCCTTGTATGAGAACCTGTGCGGGTAATCGCGTTCCCAATCTTCTAGAGTCTCAGAGAGCTTTGCCCTCCGAATCAAGTATGCCCCCAAGATCACTGCAACTGCAAGGAGGAGGAAGGTTCCGGATAATGATGCCACGATCATAATGGTCTCTGCGCGCTTGGACCCGGCACCAGGTCTAGGGAAAGAAGGGAGGCGAGAGAGATCTAAAGGTCGAGCTTCCCCATTCAGGCTAAAGCTCCATCCGAGAATGTAATGCGCGCTTCCAAGCTTCATGGTTGCAGAGGAGAAGCCAACATACATAGAGGGTAAGAGGACCGACGACAAGTCGAGAGTGTGGGAGATCAACGGGCGATGAGGCTTGTCCACTCTGAAAGGCGCTATCGTAACATCGATGCGCTTTTCGCGAGCTCTATAGCCTACCCAAGCTTGGATCGGCACCGCATCGTCCAAGATGATTGCTTGTTTCTGGTTGTCTCCGGAATAGTAGGCGGCGCTCTCCGAAGCATTGGAGACGAGGCTATTGATGTCGATGCCCACGTGGTTGCTATCTATGTCCCCATTTTGGCCCTGCACGGTGTCGAATTCTACAGCGAAAACATGGTTAGAGGAGTTGCCGTCGGTGGTGCTGTTGAGGAGGCCAAGCCATTGCCCAATTTGAGCACCAGGTAGAAGGGGAGAGGGGGCGATGGTGAAAGCCAGACCATGGCCTCCTTGGCCTGGCACAGGGGGCACAATGGCAAAAACAAAGGTGGTGCTGAAAGAGGTATCGCTACGAAAGCTCAAGGGACGGTGGTAAAACGAGTGGCCGATGAGATTGAGCGACGAGTTCGTGAGCTGAAGGGCTCCGTTGCTCCTCACAAGGGATGCACCATTTAAGCTCAAATTCGCAGGCTCAAAGCCATTGAAAACGAACGAGTCTCTCTGAGAAATCACCCCGGCTGCAGAGAACCACACAAGTGACACTGCTAAGGATAGCACCATTAGGGTTTGGACCATGGTAGGAAGGTGAAGAAGGTTGCGGATTTAGGGTTGGATAGGAAGCTTTGTTTTACAGATGAACCTTTCGTCCAAATATGGGAGAGACTTGGGTCTTGCGTTGTCTGTGAGCGACTCGTTCACATTGATGATGCTTGGAAGTTGCTTCTCTTCTCGTAACTCATTTACATAAAATGACGAAAGTGAGGACAGGGATTTCCGCGGACGAACGTAATCACTCGCGTCCGTAGAACATGAAGGAGACTGTCAGTTTTCACACGTTTCGGATTAGGGAGGTAATCGGTCGGGTGGCCCGGCCCAAAAAACTACAGTTTGGCAGCCTAAGCCTGGTGGCCTGACTCGACCATTTTTCTCTTTATTTGTTTTTCTCTCTCTTTAGGACATGGCCAAGGCCTGGGCTAGATCCTTTTCTACCGGTCTAGGCCTGGCGGGGCTGGAACCGACATTATAGGGATCATGCCTAGGCCACGCATTGGCATTGTTAGCTTCTTTTGATAAAGTCTTCAATATTTTGGAATAAAAGTATGGGCTTAACTAGTTTAGCGCTTGATGGTTTGCAACGCCACATCCTAGGCTCAATTCTTACCAAAAATAGGAGCCCTCTCTCCACTTACTCGCGCAAAAATAAATAAATAAAAAGGTCTTCACTATTCAACTACTCAAGCGAGCCAACCAAGACTCATTTGAGTATACCGCATTTGGTGGTCAACCATGAGGTCTTTCAAATAAAAATTCAAAAAAGTATAAAAGATCCAAAAAATAAGAATTTTATTTTTAATATGTTTTTTTTGTTTTCTATCATTTGGGCAAGATTGGGAATTATTTTAGCTATGGACGATTTTTATATTTTTTCTTTCCATTTGGATTATTTCTAAAATAGCTCTCATCACAAATTGATTTTTTTTTTTAAAACAATTTTTCCACTACTTTTTAAACCCCATTTAGATGTGTTTTGTTTAGTTTTACTTTGAATATATCTTTATATGGGAAAGTATAAAGGGAGACCATTTATCTTTGGTGGTTAATCAATTTTGATCATTGTGACCACTTTGTATTGAAGGTAAATGGTCTCATTATATAGAATCCTTTTTTATATTTTGCGGAAGTTTTTTTAATATTTTAGGACCCGTTTCGATGTCAAATAAAAACACGTTCAGATTGAAAAAAATTACAAATAAGGCTGTGGTTTGTATAGAGCCTAGGCTCTAAACAATCAAATTCGAGCCTACCTTCAAATAGTGTCGAGCAATGTGGTTTCAATATTGGAAATGTTTGTGATAGCCTTTAAATATATTTTCATATCTATTTATGAAGTTTAAAGCTTAAACAATAGTGTAGATCGATATATCTATAAAAACTTGAAAATCTTGAAAATTGACGGTCCAAAAATGCATTACAAAGTACACTATTTTTAAAACTTGAAATCCATTTTTTTTTCGCATGTCTATGCGTATTGATGTCGAGATGATCAATTTGAAGATATTTGGGCATCAAAACAACATCTTTTAGTGAGATTTTTGAGGTAGGCTCAAATTTGATTGTTTAGAGCCAGGGCTCTCTATAAACTTTTCCCATTAATAAATATTATTATCTTTTTTTATTAGTTTGTTGTAATGTTTGGATGGTGTGAACATATTAAAATGAGTTTCGCCGAGGGACAGGGCACTGAAGCAGGGGTGGGCGAGAGGCATATCTGTACTCTTCTCACAATAACATATGCTCACCTCATACAAGTCCTACCGGCTCCATTTGAGAGAGCGAAAGAGAAATGGTTGCCTCACTCGAAGCTGGTGTTGTAGTTATGTATGAAACCAAGCATGATGGTGGAGTGGAAACGAGTTGCAACTGACGTCTAGAGAGAGAAAATGGTACCATGGCCAAAGCTCAAATACTAGTTTATGCAACTCTTCTTCCTCATCTATTTTCTTCCGTTTCGGACCATACAACTCTTCTTCTTCAACCATTTTCTTCCATTTCTGCAACTCTTCTTCCTCTTCCATTTTCTTCCATTTTTGCAACTAAGGTCAGGCTTAGATTCAAAAGAAAAGGTATGCCGGTTCAGAGATGGGATTTGGGGTTTTTTTACAGAGATGGGATTTGGGGTTTTTTACAACCAAGATGGATGGTTTTTTATATAGAGATAAAATTTGGGGTTTTCGGTTCTTTCAATGTTGAAGATTGGAGCAAAAGATGGATTTTTTTTACAGAGATGAGATTTGGGGTTTTTGGCTCTTTCGGTGTTGAAGCTTGGAGTAAAAGATGGATGGTTTTTACAAAGATGGGATTTGGGGTGATTAGTTTTTTATGACTCAAGTTTAGAGAGAGAAAGTAGAGAGATAGGGTTTGGGTTTTTAGGCATTTTTGTTATTCATGAACGGGTAAGAGATACCCCATTTTTATTGTAACTTTTGCTTTGAAATTGCAGGATTTTTTATTTCAATCTAAAAATATTGCAATTTTGGGTGGCTATACAAACATGTTAAATCTATTTAACAAGATTTTTTAATTGCACTCTAAAAATATTACAATTTTAGGTACATCCAAACTGGCTCTTAAACATTTTTTATCATAACAATACCTACCCAACACAAGCGGTATTACTCAGGACTCGGCCCGAGTTACTTACTTACTCGGCCAGAGGTACTTACTTACTCGGCACGCGGTTCCAGGGCCAAGTGACCTACTCGTCCTTTCCTACACTGAAGTCGTTTCATTTCCTTTTTAACCCGTTTGGTTGGTAAAAGAAGTGGCTGCGGAGGTCACTGAGTCGTTGCATCTCTTTTTTAAATTCGTCCTTTCACCTGTTTTGAAAGTCGTGGCCCCCGTCTGAAGACAGGAAGCGGTGTGCAAATTGATTTGGTCAAGGCCCTCGGTACCTGGTCAAGCAGATTTATTCGGGCGAGTTCGAATAACTCACTCCAATCCAACTCAAAGTTTTTGTAAAGATAATAAAAAAAAACCGTAATATATATAATTAGTGAGCATGCTTTGAAATGACGCATTGGTTGTGCCGCGTGACATTGAGCCACAATACCGCATCGTTACATGACATTAAGGGATTCTTTGGGGTCTTCCTTGTTTTTTCAACATAGCGGGTTCGATTCTTTGGGCCTTGCTTGTTTTTATAACTTCTCTACCATATGAAATAAAATGGCAATGTTTAAAAACTAAACGACAATATTTTAAAAAAGAGTAATGATCCAATAGGACCCTCTCCCACTTAAGATCTTAAAGGATCACCATTAAAGTTGACATGGATATCTAGAATAGTTATCACATGGGTGTGGAACTTGACTTTTCCATAGATTCGTGTCAAATTTAATGGTGATCATTTGGGGTCCTACACACATGGGTGGAGGAAGGTCCTATAGGATCATTTCTCTTTAAAAAATAGACGATCACAAGCGGGATTCAAACCCACAGCACACTGAGGTTTACGTGGACCTACTAACCACAAAACCTTCATAGATGAATGAATTAAATTTAACCTATTGATAATATACATGATGTTTATTGAAATGTTGTACAGTCTGCTCGTTCAAAACTCGCCTGGCCTATAGGGCAAGGCCGAGTTACTCAGCCGAGTCTAAATTAGCATCGGCTGAGTTTCATAACATTGTACTTAAGCATCCCTCACATAGAAGCTGTATTTTTCCATTCATTTCAACACTTTCTAAGAGTCAGGGGAAGCCACAACTTCCAAAGCAACCCGAAACTTCCATTACAAACACGAGAACTAGTACAACAACTATAAGTTGTGGAAGCCACGACTTCCTATTATCAAACACACTTGTTTACGCTCAAATCTGCGCCGATCTCTGTGATGAGATCTGCTCAAATCTTAACAAAAACTGTATTATTTTTTAAAAGGTAGAGAAAGTGCGGTCGTTTGAATTATGGGCTCAGAAAAATCTCAAATCTATATAGATCCAGTCTTTTTTTGAGTCCACAGACAGCACAAGCTCTAAATCCGTATTTTGACCTAAAAACGCTTCTAAATTTAATTAAATCTAAGGATGAATTAGTTTTTTAAAAAAATAAAATAATGCAGATAATTAAATGATGGAAAACAAAATAAATTAAGCAAAGAAAGATATACTTACCTCTAGGGACCTGAAACCCGGAGTTTTGGGCTTGGATCAGGCCGCTATTCTAATTTACTCCACCATCTCATTTTTTGGATGTCTTTTCTTGCTGGAATTGATAGTTCTATGGTTCTTTTGACCTAGAACTAGAGTTCTTAAGGCAAGGAAAAAAACTTAGAATTTTAGATAGGGTCTACCTAGGTTTTTCTTGGGATTTGAGGAGAATTTCTTTAGTTTTCTAAGGTTTTTGGGATCTCCATAGGTTGAATATGACTCTTGAGATTTTTTCTAGTTTTTTAGGATTTCTCCTAAATTTTTAAAAATTTTCTAAGAGTTTTTTCTATTTTTGGTATTTTTGGGCTATTTTTCTAATTTCGGGAATTTCTAAGGGATTTCTTTGTGGTTTCTAGTCTCTTTTTGGTTTTTGGTCTCTTTATTTTGGGTTATGAAAGGGGTATTTATAGAAATCCATTGGTGATTTTTTCTAATATGTTTAGAGTTTTTCGAATTTTTTTGGATTTATCTTAAAGTTTTAGCCTTATCTAATTAAAGAAAACGTGTTTACTGCGTCATCAGCCCAAAGGAACCAAATTGTCATTTGTTATATCGTTTTATTCGTAGGGCCAATTCAAACGATTCTTGGACCGTTGGAAATCTCTTGAGCTCTACTTCAAGTTGGGATAGGATTTAGGTAGTTTTAGGTCAATTAAATTGGGCCTAAGTTGCCTATGGTCTACTAGGGTTTGTGTGGTCCTTTAGGACCAGAATTGAGGTTTTTAGAAGTTCCCTTAGCCAGAATTTCGAGGGGGTGTCTACAGTTACCCTTCTTTAGCATTCACTTGGGACACCAGGTGAATAGCAAAGAAGTAGACACCTGAGACACAGTGGGAAGGAAAACATTTTTCAAGGGATCATTCTTTTGAATGACTAGTACCCGTTGGGTAGGCAATATGTCAATGGGTGTTTTTGATCTGTAAGACATCGAATTGACACTGCTATCTTTGAGTCATGCGCGGTTGAGAAGTCTCCGATAATCGGGATCCAAAGTGACAGTCAATAGGAACTGTACTATCTTTGAGCCGGTGACACTCCTTGTTGTAGTCACTCCAATGCTACCTAAGAAGTTGCCAGTGTAGTCATCTTCAACTTTAGACTTTTTTCTCGGGGTCTGATTCTCCAATTGAATGTGATTTTGATTTAGAATAAATGATGGGATGGTGAATTTCTAGCTAATTGAACCTCTTGTTTGCCTTCGATTCTGATTCTTGAGGTCCACAAGTTCAGGCTTTTTTATATGGGAACCTATGGGTTGGTCTCTGTTTTCCTAAGCGTTTGCAAGTATGGCAATCTAGG